AAATGAGAAAGGAAGGAAAAAATGGAAGCGAAGCTTTTGTAAATGGAGCAGGAAGGAGGGGTGGAAGGAAGGGTAAGGGAACAGGAAAAGAAAGAATCAAGTCATAGCATGTACAGATACAAATTGTCTATGATGAATGTGATCATTATATATACCTAAAATGTACCAATAAAATCTGATTGGAAACTGTCAAAAAAAAGAATGGGATTGATAGCAGATTAGACAGTAAAAACACAATTTTAAGAAGTAGTAAAGAAAAATCAGAAAATATTCCTGTTAAACTTAGAATGACAAAAAGATGGAAAACTAAAATCAAGAACAACCTAAAAGATCTAGTATGACACAGGATATAAAATCTTCTCTGAGGAGAGGAAATGAGAATGGGACAGAAGAGAAAATACCATGTGGCTCAAAATTTTCCAATACTGACAAAGGATCCCAATCTACACATTCAAGAAGCACTTTAAGTAGGATAAAAATAAAGCAAACCACATCTAGATATATCATAGTATATCTGATGAAAAATAAAAAAAAAAATCTCAGAACATCCAGAGAGCAGGGATGAGGTTTACACGCGGGCAGATTACCTTCAAGCAGCCAACAGGCCTCACAGCTGACAAAACGTTATAAAAATGAAAGCCAGAAGACAATGAAACAAAAATACCAATTTAAAAGTCCCTAATAAAAATATCCATTAAAAAGGCAGGAAATGAGCCAGGCTTGATAGCACACACCTGTTATGCCTGAACTCCGGCAGAGTGAGGGAAGGAAATAACAATTTCAAGCCCAACCTGGGCAATTTAGCAACTTCGTAAGACCCTGTCTCAAAATAAAAGGTAAATAAAAAGGGTTCGGTATATAATTCAGTGTGGAGGCCCTGGGTTCCATCCCTAGTGTCTGTCTGTCTATCTCTCTCTCTCTCTCTCACACACACACACATACACATACACACACAAAGTAGGTAATTAATTGGCCAGGCACAGTGGTAAATGTGTATAATCCCAGCTACTCCAGGGGCTGAGGTATGGAGATTGCAAGTTCAAGGCTAGCCTGGGCAACACAGCAAGACCATTTCACTAAGCAAAATTTTTAAAAGGCTATGGATATAGCTCAGTGGTAGAGTGCTTGCCTACCATATGCAAGGCTCTGAATATACTGCACCACGGATTAAGTTTACATCCAAAAAAATGAATTTAAAATCTCTGGGGAAAGCCAGGTATTGTGGTACATGCCTATAACACCACCACTCAGGAGGCTGAGGCAGGAGGATCACCGTGAGTTTGAGGCCAGCCTGGACTATGTACTGAGCTCAAGACCAACTGAACTACACAGGAAGACCCTGTCTCCAAAAATCAAAAATAAACAAAATAAAATAAAATCTCTGAGGAATGGTGGTGTACACCTGTATCCTAGCTACTTGGGAGGCTGAAAGGAGAAGATCACAAGTTCAAAGCCAGGCTGAGCAATTTAGCAAGATCTTCTCTCAAAATAAAATATAAAAGGACTGAAAATGTACAAAAGCCTTGAGTTCAACCCCCAGTACTACAATTAATTAATTAATTAATTAATTCTCTGAAACAGGGGTCAATAAACTTTCTATAAAGAAAGAGGGTAAACATTTTGGCTTTGCCAACTGATAGTGTTATAACTACTCAGCCTTATCTCTGCGGCACTTACACAGCCAAGGATGCTATGTAAATGTGGCTGTACCTCAACGATACTTATAAAAACAAGAGAAGCCCATACTAGACTTGTCTCGTAGTTTGCGGAACTTCATTGTAGACCTCACTCCTAGTCTTCAGACAATACTGGGACCAGAAAACATTATTAAACGATACCGCCGAGATGCAGTTAGAAACTCTACACTATGGAAAAACATTTGGGACAAATAAACTACCTTCTACAACAAATGCATTATAAAGTTAAATCAAGATGCAGAGAAAACTCACAAAGCCCTAACAGACGTATAAACCAATCACAGTACACGGAACCATAGTAGAACAAATAAATCAGACACACATATGTACATATCGCACTCTCTCTCTGACGTGAGAAACTGAAATTGTAAATAAGAACCAAAGTGTACAATACACATCGTGAAATAGGAAGAAACTGAAGAAAAGGAAAAGGGAATTAGGGAGCGGGGACAGGAAAAGGAGCAAAAATCAGGAAATAAGGATTAAAATGAAAACAGAGCTTTGTGAACAAGGAGGGGAAGGGGGTTTGAAAGGAGAGGACAGGAACGGGGAAAAAAAGAGGAATCAAGATGTATTGTGTACAAATACAAATTCCGTATAATGAATATGGTCATCATGTACACCCAAATTGTACCAATAAACTTAAATAAAATTAGAAGATGAGAGCAGAAAAAGATGTGAACTTTAAGACAGATCAACATAAATGATCAAATTTGATCAACAGAGAGAAGCAAATTTAAAAAATGAACAGAGGCTCAGAAACCTGTGGGACAAGAAAAAGGAGATAATAATGTTTTTTCCTGTTTTGTTGAGGTTTTTTGGTACTAGGACTAAAACCTAGGGCCTCAGGCGTGGTAGAAAAGCACTGAGCTACACTGTCAACTACTTCAGAAACAAATATGGGAAGAAGTAGAGGCAAAAATATACCAAATTTGTAAAAAGACATACGCTTACATATTTAAAAAGTTCAGGGAACAACAAATACAATAAACATAAAAGATATCCAAGCAGCAGTATATCATAAGCAAACTGCTAAAAAAAAAAAAAAAAAAAATACT